TTCCTCGCTTCACATGATTCTTACCCCGCGCAATCAGTTCCCTTACCCGCTCACCCATCTCAACCGCCTTTGTCGGGCCGTACTCGCCTCACCTCCCCGATTTATCTCCCCTTTCACGCATACATTCACACGCACACTGGCATACGCACGCACACACACACGCGCAAGTGTAGCAATGTGCATTTACATGTTCTCGCGGTAGATTCATCCGATTTTGCTCGTCCTATCTGCACGCAAACATATAAGAGTAAAAATGTATATTTCCGTTTTCTAGCGGTAGATTCATTCAATTTTGCTCATCGGATCGATGAAAGTCGTGAGATCAGAAGGGAGATCGGAGACTTACCTTAAATGCAGGGTCAATGTCACGACGTCGTCAACGGATGTATCACGCATCCCGTAAGTTTTGAACCTCGCAATGGTAAATAGCGGATGCAGGCCGTGGCCACTTTGCACCACAGCAGCAAGGCACCTCGGATGACAGAGGGCACAGATCCCCCTTACACAGTCGCGACACCTCCAATCGGAATGCACCATTGCCCGTGCGGATACGAAGACAACACTTCAACAAGCCGCAGTCATTATCCCCGATATCTATGGGATGAGAGCGTCGAAGAAGAAACACGACGGCAGGTATATCCCCGTCCCCTCTTCTTCCCTTCGTCTCTTCTTCTTCTTCTTCTTCTTCTTCTTCTTCTTCTTCGCGCTTTCTTCTTCGTCGTCACGCTTTCTTCTTCGTCGTCACGCTTTCTTCTTTCTCCGTGCGGTCTTCCTTCTCTCGTCTCGCTCTTCTCCTTCTTCTTCTTCTTCTTCTTTTTCTTCTTCTTCTTCTTCTTCTTCTTCTTCTTCTTCTTCTTTCTCTATTCCTTTTTTTCACCTTCTTCACGGCATTCTCCTCCTTCCTCTGGCACTTCTCCTTTTTCCCGCTCGCTGCCATCTCGTTGCTTTCATCGCGCAATTTCTCTGCGGCTCCCGCGCGCCATCTCCGTTCTTGCCAGCTTGCGCTACCTCCCCTCGCACCTCCTTCTTCCGCGCGGCCATCCTTTTCCTCCGCGCGTCCATTTCCTTCTCATCCCCCGCGAGGTGATCTCTTCCTTTCTGCGAGGCCATCTCCTTCTCACGGGTTGCTTCTGCTCATCGCTACTTCCTTCTCGGTTTGCTCCCTGTCTGCCAGTCACCGTAGACGAGAGCAGTACCTTCGATTTTCTCTGCAACAAATTACCCATTTCGTTCGATTGAATCTGCCTCAATTTGAGCGTCAGATTCATCGAATCGAAATTGCTACGGATGGAAAGGAAATAAACAAGAAAATACATATATATATAAAATGATTAAAATCTAGTAAGATCAATCAATAAATAAATAAAAGAAACAAAAACAAGCAAACATCCGTTAAAATTGGAACGATAAAAAGAAGATTTGCATGGCCCCTGCGAATGGATGACACGCATAAATCGAGAAATCGTCCAAAAAAAAAATTAAAAAAAAAAAAAAAAAAAAAAAAAAAAAAAAAAAAAACTACTAACTACCCCGTTGTGCCAAATGCACCTAATTCTAACATTGAAGTCACGGGTTCGAGCCCCGTGTGCCTGAAGGCGGGGTGCAAAAACGTTAGCGTGAGCTTCTTATCAAAAGGAGCTAACTGGAGGTCGAATGGATTCAATCCCCAAGTCACCTGATTATCAATCCACACCAAAACCCACTGAGCTAGCCCCCACTGCAGTTAAAAAAGGAGCAACTCAGCTATATGTAGAGGAGCGGGGCTCAGTCCGCCTAGTCGCCTGAGCCCGTTTTCTAAGTCTGCGTGTGTGCAGACCTGCCGGCCTGCATGCCTGTCTGAGTGCTTGTCGGCTTGAGTGTATGTGTGGCCCGCAAGGACACTTGATTGATCGAAAGGCCCAAAGGGCCGGTGCTTACCTGTGACCGTGACATTGAGGGTTGAGTCGGGAGAAACACTAAAGTGGCGAGGAAGGAGGCCCACGACACTTGAAGGCAACAGAAAATACTCAAGTAGCAGGTAGGCCAGTACCACACCAAGCAGAGGTAGATGCGTCGGGTACTCGGGAGGCCGAGTTGAAAAGACAAAAGTTGGCAGCCCCCCAGTACCAGTAGATAGGCGGGTACCAGTCCAAGTAGCCTGAGTCTAGGGCATATGCAGACGATACAAGGGCCTGCAATGATGTTTCCTTCAGAATGGGAGGAAATACAGGTTGCTTGGGTGGTCGTGCGATCAGCAAGTCACCGTCCAAGAGGCAAACACCTCCCTTCCAATGTGCGGCCGAAAGAGAGCCTCCACCTTACTTGCGGTATACGAGTTAGGATGGAGGTACCGCTCGAGCAAGTGCTAGCAATCTAGGCGCTACTGCAAACCTGATGATCACACAGTTTTAATTGCCCCGACCGTATGGTCGGGGCGTATATTAATTTACCATGACAAACGTACCAACGGTTAAGTCTCAGCGTGTATCGTAGATCTACCTAACAAAACAGTAACCCAACTGATCCCTCGATCTCTGCTCTCGAAGGGCATTACTACCGATTCTACCCATGAGAGCGAGCGTCACCACAATGCGCGCGCATACTGAACAAAAAATTCTCTATGATTTGCCCCAGCCTCAATGGTCGAGGAAATTGTTTCAACGTGTCGTGCGAGAAACGCATGCGCCCTGAACTTTCGGACCGGCCCCGTCCTGGTAGCCGGTGTCGTCACTGTGTCGACTGCAAAAGCATGGCCAAATACCCTTAAGGGTATTTGCTCCGACAACGCTCCGCTGTTTGCATATTTCCTGTACTATGCTATAGTGAAGACCTGAGTAAAAATCAAGTCGCATTTTCATGTATGCGGCCAACCCGCCTTCATCCGACTCGTCCTCGTCTTCCTCGACCAGATTATTCTGCGCAACATTGGTGCCTAGTGCAACGTCAATATCTTTCGCATCATCCGCAGCTTCAGTGGTCTCAACCGCAGGCCCCGTAGCACACAGGGGTTTCTTCCCCTTGGGATCGACAAGCCCTTGTACCAGCACGGCGAGCAGCTTCTTGACGTCAACGAGTTCCGAGCTTCACTCCAACCTAGAGCTTAAATTTTTCTTCACACTTTTCTTGGTCTTGCCCTTCGTCTGGCTGCGCGATCTGGGTCTGACCACGTTCTTTTTTGGTGTTTCAGCAGCAAGGGTCCGATCCCCCCCCCGTTTTCTCTTCTAATTACTGGATTCTCTCTTCCCTTTCTCCAGAAGAGTTTTCTCAGCCCTCAGCCTCTCGAGTTACTTCTCTGTTGTAGCCAACTTCGATTTCGAGTCAACTTGATCCAACGTCTGTGTGATCAGCTTCAACGAGTCACCCAGCGTCGATGTGACCCAGACCTTCATCTCCTCACTCTTGTCATCTGATTTCTCCTCCGACCGACCACTTTCCACATTACTCTCAGCTCTGCGGATGCCGCTTCGACGACCACTTGCGATCTTCTTCCTCGCATCCTCCAGCGCCTTATTCGATTTAATATCTTCTAATATATCCATATACTCTTTTGTAAAGTAGGCCCGGTTTCCAGGTTCAGGAAAGGCATTAGTCGATGGTCCTTTCCCGCTCGAATTCACCTGCCTACTAGGCGCTTGTTGCTGAGAAGGGGGAGGAGGAGGAGGAGGAGGAGGAGGAGGCAGTTGCGGGTTACTCGTTTGCAGATTGTTAACCGGTGGAATGCTCCATTGCCCCGGGGGCAGTCATGGGGCTGGCCACATCTGCACACCCCATTGCCCGCGCGGCAGTGGTTGCGCATAAGCCCCTGCCACACCTGGCGCAGAGGCGGTCATAGTCGGTATAGCCGACATAGCTGGCATTTGTCCTCCGACCAGCGGCCCTTGCCCAGCGAGCGTTGATGTCTGATATTGTGGAATCCCACCCTGTTGGGCAGGCATCCCACCCAGGTGCGGATATTGAACGACGTTCCCTTGGTTTGGTGCCTGTTGAGCAGCACCATTATTCGAATTCATATTCGACCAGTACCTCCCACAATTCGACCACCGTCCTCGTCGGCCGCCGCCCTTACTTCCTCTGCCCCGTCTGTACATACAACCAATGATAGAGAACGGAAAGAGCACCCAACCAATACTACGTACGACAGTCCAATGAGGTTCTTCATGCCGCCTACCAATCTCCCAGTCCCACCACTTAAGCCTCCATGTAATTACACGCTTTGTCCAGATCAAGCGCCTTAATCTTAATGAGATCTTGTCGACGACGTCGTCACACCACGCACGCGTGTACCACGTTATGACGGTTCTCGCCTATCCAGCCTTGAGCTCGCTAGCAACGCAGAGAAATTGCGCCTGAATGCGCAATCGCTATCCACTGCACTCAGGAATCGATTTGATAACTGAATTTGATAGACTCAAATCAGAGGCGCTGCATGATACAGTCTTAACCATGAGACATTCGAGGCAACTCATAAACATGATGGGACATGAAAGAGTGATGCATGATAAATAGCAATAATTTTAAACGATGCCATATAAAAAATGACATGACATATGTCATGGCAAATGGAATGACGAATGGGATGAAATAATAAATAATAGATAATAAATGAAATATACGAGAGAAAATGCGCAATGATCTCCTGAGAAAACGACACCTCAGACTCGTTCCCAAGCTACAGCAAGGTCGTGTCTAAGGCTCTATACCATCAACAAATTTATTAGAATAAAATTATGCATAATAACAAGAAGAAGATGATATAAGTGTTACATATCATGGCGCCATCACCTCCTTCCCCACATTCCTTGACACTAGCTCGTCAAGAATACTCAATCCTTCTAACTCATACGCCACTCAGATTGAGGCCAATGTCTCCGTACTATACTCTTTTATACTTATCGCAGTAGGATACCACACTCACGCAGCCTTGCTACACGCGCGCCACACTTGCTACGAGGCAGGAACCCACAATACATCCTCACCAACACTTCTATTTCGTACCAGCAGGCATACTTGCACCGGACCTTCATATCGGTCAGAATTCATTATTCCTTTACTTACTCTGTTTCTGGACTTCGCCTCCGTACACGGTACAACTGTATAGGCATTTCCGATAAATTGTACCTGGAGCATGTACCAGCCACGTTTGTAAACATAGCACAGTTGTATAAGAGCGTTGTCGTTGCACTGTGCCTTTTTCCGCAGACTCCTGTGTTCGAATGGGTTAAAACCAGATCGCAGATCCAAGCTGCTTATTGGAGTTTGTCCTTCGAATATCATGGCTGTTACAGACTCCGCCAGGGCTCGATCCCTGGTCTACTTTTTGCTGTTTCTGCTGCATCACGTTTTTGGCCTGGCACCCGTTTTCCAAACCCCTCCTTTGGTACCGTCGGATTTTGGACAATTGGCGCCATGCTGCAGTTCGGGCGCCACTTTCAAATGTTGCATTTTTCAGTTCTTCCCTCGGGGCTTTTGCAGATTTGCCCCGGTACTGTAGCGGACACCCGGTACTTATACCGGTGCCCCGTACAGTACGCTGACCAGTCTCGTACCAGTTCTCTGCTACTGTACTCGTACTCAGTGTGACTTGCTGTTTTCGGCATTCGGAA